ATACAACTGAAGATCCATTACGCTGTCTATACTATACGTACAGCCAACGGAACAATATGAAATAATCATTTTCAACAGCCAAACAAAACGGAAATGTATAATCCGACTTGCAACTGACAGGAGCCAAATGGACGTTTTTGTTTTATTGCCGTCCAGTAACAAAGTCACGTGACCCGTGCAAGTCCTCTATAGGAGAAATATTCTGTGGTTCGAGGTTCGGGGAAAGGCCCATAATAAATAAAACCAATTTATTACGCCTTACGCAATGACAATGTAATTTTCTCTCGTTCCATATTGGCCGATAAGCTAAAGAATAGAAACGCGTCACATTATCAGTCGATAAAATAAACCGAAATGCTCGAGGACTCAAAAAATCACTGAAGCGTGTAGTAATATCGAGTATTAACTATCAGCGCGGTGTCGCGTAAATTGTCAAGTTGACATCGTTGTCGTCGAAGTGTTTTCAGTGCCGGGATGTGTCAGAATCAGAAGTAGGTGACTATCCCCAAAGACAGAGAATAAAAATGACGGGCGGCGTGGATGGCGAGTTGTTTTGATACCAGCGTTGTCCATAATAAAACATACGTAGTCAGTAAGGAGCAAATAGGATACCAGGTAAAAAGCAGGTAAGCCTTTCTCTTCACGATAAATTCGGTTTCATGTCAGTCAATACATTTTTTCATTCAAATTATTGACTTTATTTGTCTGCAGATCTGTATTCCAAATGTTTCAAACTTCGAATGGCCACTTTTCGCTTTGCGTCATTTCGTCGTGAGAGAGAAATGTCTGCGTGATCAGTGACGCGTGATAGCGTCACCGCGTAGAACTTACGATGCCGTGATCCGTTTTGCATGTCGCACACTGACGTTCATCTATGACAGCCGTTTTATTTTTTCCGATTATTAATTCTTTCGGGACAGCGGACATTGAAGTTTTATATATCTGGTCAATGACATTAGCAGCATGCTTAATGTCATTGATCTGGTATACCCGTGCGTTTACATCGGCAACAGATCTTGAAGATAAGAAGGACTGATTTCAAAAGCCAAATTAATTTTATTCTGATTTTTATCTTATGTGTTGGCTTTGATGTTATCACTGTTTGTATATTATTATTCGTTCGAGTTTAAAGAGAACGGTGATATTATTATCGACACCGGGATGGAGATATTTATTAAGACGATGATTGACGTTCTTATGCTTTGCACCTGCGATTGCACGAATCCTGAATTTTTATTTATTATAATAATTGAATAAATCGGCCGTTATGCATTTATACTTGTCATAAGGCTTTTGGTCCTAATAGCGTGTCGGACGCTAATTATATATAACTATTTCCCTCAAGTTTTAAAGTTCTTTTTTTGGACAAAACAATAACCCGACGGTTATTATAGCTAAAATCGTTACCGACTAACTCACAATTTTATCTACGGAATTTGCGAACTCAGCACTTTACTCGACGAGTTTGACAGTGTCACGCCATAATTATTACCGCTAAAATGCTTCAAAATACAACGCATGTTATAATTTTGCCCAGCGCTATTTCTGACATTTCGTAAAACTAAACCATTTACTTCTGACTATTCCTAATTTCATGAAAGTGCTAGATTTTGCTAATATGATCGTTTTAATACAAAACAAAAATGAGACAACATGGGACAAATGAAAATAAAAAAACAGACGAATAAACTAAGTCGTAAAAATGGAAGTGGAAAACAATTTTTAATACGAAACAAAAATGAAACAGTGAAAATAATAAAAAAAACGAATGATGAATTACGATAGGTAGTAAAAAATGGCAGTGGAAATGGAAAACAATATGGAACGGTGTAGCTTGTGGAATTCAGATATAATGTATTCACAGGCAGATAGACAAAGTCAAATGACATGAAACGGATAAAAACGCCTAATAGAAACTTTGAAACTCTTTTCTTCATTTTGCGACTTACTCGTATGTGGTCCAACCTCCTACTGAGTGCACCTGAGTTTCATGCTCACCTGTGCAACATTCTACGCTTAAGATCATCGTAAACATACATACTTTATCATTGTGATAGTATAGATACGCGTAACTGGCTGTTCATTAGCCTTGCGTATCAACAACATCTATACGTTCGGAGAATGAATGCAAATATATCAACGCACAAATTTGATGTGCATTAAACGGATTCACAATGAATAAACAGCATATGACTGGGGCTAGAATGAAGTTTTTGTAGGATTTGGTGACTAGGATCAGGTAGGAGCTTTCACTTTATATTTTACTACACGTGGCGCCACATAGTCTGGCGTTCAAATGTCGCAGCGAGTTACGCAATGTGACGTCGGCGTTGAATGGAGCGAAATTGAATCACGTTGTTGACGTCATGTTCAGCGTAAGCATCGTAACGTCGATATTTTGACGAAATTTTTAAATCAAAATAATATATTTTACTTGAATCGCACACGACATCTCGTGATCACTGTAATTTTTCTTGTACATTGTGTATGCCCTCTAGCGATTGACGGTCTTTTAGTGAAGTTAGCGTCGGCAGAAAGCGTGGGATTCAACAATATTCGAAACCGCAGATAGACTACCGTAAACGCAGGTAACTTCATGAGACAACATGGGACAAATGAAAATAAAAAAACAGACGAATAAATTAAGTCGTAAAAATGGAAGCGGAAAACAATTTTTAATACGAAACAAAAATGAAACAGTGAAAATAATAAAAAAAACGAATGATGAATTACGATAGGTAGTAAAAAATGGCAGTGGAAATGGAAAACAATATGGAACGGTGTAGCTTGTGGAATTCAGATATAATGTATTCACAGGCAGATAGACAAAGTCAAATGACATGAAACGGATAAAAACGCCTAATAGAAACTTTGATACTCTTTTCTTCATTTTGCGACTTACTCGTATGTGGTCCAACCTCCTACTGAGTGCACCTGAGTTTCATGCTCACCTGTGCAACATTCTACGCTTAAGATCATCGTAAACATACATACTTTATCATTGTGATAGTATAGATACGCGTAACTGGCTGTTCATTAGCCTTACGTATCAACAACATCTATACGTTCGGAGAATGAATGCAAAAATATCAACGCACAAATTTGATGTGCATTAAACGGATTCACAATGAATAAACAGCATATGGGCTAGAATGAAGTTTTTGTAGGATTTGGTGACTAGGATCAGGTAGGAGCTTTCACTTTATATTTTACTACACGTGGCGCCACATAGTCTGGCGTTCAAAAGTCGCAGCGAGTTACGCAATGTGACGTCGGCGTTAAATGGAGCGAAATTGAATCACGTTGTTGACGTCATGTTCAGCGTAAGCATCGTAACGTCGATATTTTGACGAAATTTTTAAATCAAAATAATATATTTTACTTGAATCGCACACGACATTTCGTGATCACTGTAATTTTCCTTGTACATTGTGTATGCCCTCTAGCGATTGACGGTCTTTTAGTGAAGTTAGCGTCGGCAGAATAGCCGCTCAAAAACAAGGTGTCAATTTTTGGCTAAAATGTGATTTTTTGTGTCAAAAAATAAATAAGATTAGGCGATTGAATATGATAACAGATTAAGATATATAAGGACTCTCTATAGAAACTGCCAGAAGCAAAATATGACGTAATTTAGTCAAGATATAAACGATTGAAAATTTCATCCGAAGTTACAAACCATCCGAAGTTACCTGCGTTTACGGTAGTCTATCTGCGATTTCGAATATTGTTAAATCCCACGCTTTGCTGTGATACGTCGAAAATTCCGAGAACGTTACTATCCGCGGAAGAAAATACACTTTCGAACGAGTCGTCGATTATCCATGAACTCTGTAGGGTACGGTAAGCTTAAGAATTGCAGTGAAAATGTTTTATCATCAGTCGCAGCATACCACTTACGCATGAATGCTGACGAGACGCGCAGCGCTCAAAATGAATTTCGGCAACCCTGCCGGTATAATTCGGCAATTTTGCCTCAATAGCAAGATATTTCTTTAGTGCAGACTTCGGGTATCATCGGAGGCCCTGTGCGCCTACCGGCTTGGTATTATTTGTTTGTGATTAGGGTTAGTTCGGATACCTATAATTTTCACTATCCTGATTACCCGAATAGTTACTGCTAACTTTAGAGAACCGATTTCACAAGATTTTTGCGGTGAATTGACAGAAAACCACCACCACACAGTTCTTTATTTTGTATATATAGTATTTTGTGTTCTGTATTATTTTGTGATTTCTTGCACGACGAAATGTTGACGAACTTTGTACATATATATAATACTGTGATAGCATACATATAAATAAAATCATGAACACACAAAATGATGATATTGAAAAAAACGAACTAGTCAGAAATTTCTTCTAATTTGAAATTCACTGTAAATATTCCCACGTTTGTACTAATTAGGCCACGACCTAAATCTGATTCGAATACCCTTTAAACTGAATTAACAGAGCCAAAACAATGCTGCACCAGTTTTTGAACAATTTTACTTATCAACCTAGGTGAGTAAATGAAAAACATGACACGATACAAAGTCTGTCAAATTAAACTTTGCTGAAATATTATAGACCATCCTGCAAACAAGTTTTTTTGGGAAAGTGCCATGAAAACCACAAATGTAATAACAGCCCTTTTTGAAATTTTCGAAAAAGTCACTAATAGTCAGTTGCCAGTATGCAGCTTAAATATTGCTTGGAAATATTAATTATAGAGGAGCCTTTACAGTAAACTCAAACGCATGCATAGACCTCTCAATTGATGGTTCCTTTTTGTTAAATGATTGAAGGGTCAGCTGTTTTCAAACAGGATTTCTGGGAAATTTATATAACAGATCCGAATACTGTTATACATAATTATATCTTACGTTCTTACCCCAATTCTATTTGTGAATATTTTGTCTTTTCATATCTTAGATAGATATTGCCGATAAGAAAACTTTATTTGGTATATTTATATACAGTATATTGTAACCAGCTTCTTTTTATTCAATGTTCAGATGAAAAACTTTTAGATATCAGTAACCAAAATGAAAAAAAATAAACAAAGAGAGTTGCACGAATGCAGTTGTTGTTGTAAAAGTCTCCGTTGGATTAGTCATCTCAAAAGCCACCAAGCGACACACACTGGAGAAAGACCACATAAGTGTGAATTTTGTGGCAAGGGATTCACTCGAATCGATCATTTAAAAACCCATTCACGATTGCACTTGCCTGATGACCCGCAAAATCACAGTATTAAGGTTAAACAAAGTAAGTTGCACCAATGTGGTATTTGTGATAAAAGTTTTCGTTGGCTCAGTGGTCTCAGAAACCACCAAACGACACACACTGGAGAACGACCACATAAGTGTGACATTTGTAGCAAAACATTCACCCAGAAGAGTCACTTGACACCCCATTTACGATTGCATTTTTACGATGAGGGACAAAATCAACATAAATGTGAAGTTTGCGAAAAGGTACTTAACGACATGCGAAGTAAAACTATTCATATGAGACAACATACAGGAGAAAGACCATATAAATGTGAAGAATGTGGAAAGGGCTTTTGTAGCAGAGGTATTTTGAAAAAACATATCAATCTACACCTCAAGACATTCATGTGTGAAATATGCAATCGGGCATTTGACTGCAAGTCTCACCTTTCTACTCATATGCTCACTCATACAAAAGAAAAAAAATTTAAATGTACTATTTGCGAAAAGTTATTCGCATGCAAAGGTAATTTAAAGTTGCATATGAGAAGACATACAAATGAATATCAATTTAAATGTGAAATATGTGGCGCCATCAAGGTGCAACAATGCGAACTGAATATTCATATGCGAATGCACACAGGTGAAAAACCGTTTATCTGTAAATTATGTGGGAAGGCATTTAGCGAGCGTAGTAATCGAAATATGCATATGCAAACACATTCCAACGAAAAGCCGTATGCATGTGACATATGTGGAAAAAGATTTGCTGTACAAAGATATGTCAAACAACACACCAAACAGACTCATTTGAAATCAGATAGTATCTCAAATACGAACAAAGTTCTAACTGAAAATATATATTGAGATAGCACTGTTGTTTCTTATCAAAATGAAAATATATCGCAGCATAAGCACAAACCTCTCAAGTAATTGAAATCAAAGAGCTATCAGACCACGAATAACTTGATATACCGAGTGTCTTAGACATGCTCGTAGCGCTTATTCATTTATGCCACATTCTCAGTAAATCGTCACCGCGTTGCCCGCTCCGTCGCCGACAGGTGGGTTCACTCGGAGTACTGTTCAGCAGCAGTAGATATTCAGCCCAGACACCCATCCCTACTTTTGAAATGTTAAACATCAAGTTATCACAAAACCTGACTTGGCATGTAGAAATCTTAAAATTGAACACCTAACGTGTAGTATCTGTAAATGCTTTTTTATGAATGCTGATTTAGAAATGTAAATTCAAATGGAACGATTATTAAAAGATTTGTTCACAAATAATACTGCAATAAAAGCAGGAGAAAAAAATTACGTATTTTGTGGACAGTGGTCGCCGACGGTGGGTCAGTGGTTCGCCAGCCCTTGCACAGTGGCTTCCAATCAGATGGAATCCATGGATGTGTAATATGGAACGAAGTAGTGAAATAGAACTACTCGCTGTTGCAGTCTGCCTCGGCTAGAAAACAAGTCCTGGATTTATTTATAAACAAAGCTACGGTCTTAATAAGACTTTGTATATGACTGTAATCACATTCAATGAAATGCTTCTTTGTGAATGATTTATCTAAAGAAATATTGGACCAATTACATTATGTACTTTCTCCAAATAAATACGGACCGTTTTTATGTACAGTTTTAATGAGTATTAGTTGGTTCTATGTTAAAGAGATCTACAACATTCAGGTAAATTATCCGAAGGGTCGTCTATTACAGCGGTTCCCAAAAGGTACCGGTAGTGCGCCGCGACGAGTTGCTAAGTGCGCCGCGAAAAATTAATAGAATTGTGTTAAACACAATTAAGATATGATTGAATATTTTACATATTGTATTTATTATAGGTTTTTTAATATTTCTGATTATTAATGCTATATGAATCGATAAATTCATTTCATCCTTTTATGTCGTTCATTATTTGTTACGTTGTGCCTGTCTCTATTATTACGTAATAATAGAGGTAACCACTACTTTCTGGAATTATTATTTATCTGCTGAACCGAGTTTAGTGAACATGAGTGATTTCTTTAGCATTTTAAACGAAAATCGGGCAGAGATGAGAAAGGAGAGTTGGCCTCTTGAAGCAGCATTTTTTTTCGTTCAAGTGAGCCGTGGGTTTTTTCCAGGTAAAATGGCGCCGCTCGAACAAAAAGTTTGGGAACTGTGGTATATGAGATTGACCTAGTAGCACATATTAAGCGAATGTGTACGAGCAGGATAGAGATCATGAGTTAATAAATCAAAGTGGGTACTTATAACTTTGTTGGATGCGATGGTTTACCTAGAATGATGGGTTCACCAACGTTCAGATTATGTTTATATTGTGCACTTAAGAGCAAAACCATGCTCTATTAGCAGCCCAGCTATTATAGACCATTATCAACCACTGATATATCCCAATAATATTTATAGTACTTGCATTATATGAAATCTGATCTATTGACAGTCCATTTTTAGTATTAGTCATTCAAATATCTCAATACTTACTTAATTAGGCCTCGACCAGTTCCCTTTTTTTTATTAATGTTGACTTGGAAATCTAGCTCAAATTGAAACGAATATTAACCTATGTGTCCACGAATATTGCTGCAATAAAAATAGTAATAATCATGTATTTTGTGGAAACGATAATTTGTACAGTGGATGTCAAACGTGGGTGAATATCAGTATAAAAATTAAATATTTTCGCTTTACTTTGCTTATGACGGATCATTCCGTCCTTCGCAGCACCTGTCATTTCAATATTTATTTATTACAGATATTTTGTTGTTGATTGTTTGTTTTTTGAAGTAACCTCTGACTCACTTCCTTGCAGCCAGGAAAAAACTTGTTCATGTTCCTAATCAAACCTGAAGCACAAGGGAGAGACTATTTGTCACTGTAAGTTTAGGTTTTCAGGCTTCAAATGAATGATAAGTAAACACAAATATCGAATAATGCACCAGCACTGATCGCATTAAAACGTATCGAGCCAAATTGCTAAACTGAATTGTATGTAACACCAATAGCGCAGCCAGCCCAAAATTTTTTGGAGGGGGCCAAATTTGAAAGTTTTAGAAATTATATTGGGTCTAAGACACCCCTTCTTCAAGGGCGAAACAACAACCTCTGCCCCCCATGGCTACGCCTATGTGTAACACCACTAGAGCTAGGGTTCGTAAATATAAATACGTGCGTCTTAAAGAGGTAAAGTCAGAAAAAGAGAGAATTTTTCGAGTAGATATACACCACTTTCTTCTGGGCACTGTGGTAGCGAAAAGCTATATCGCAAGGACCAATGCATGAACTACCTTCGCTGCTGCTTTGAAAATCACCAAAAGTAATTTGAAAAACCATTTGCGTTTGCACTTTCCTGCTAATCGACAATATCAACAGAAATTAGAAATTTGCGGAAAAGTACTCGACGATATGCGGAGTAAGACTATTCACATCAGACCACACACAGGGGAAAGGTCATACAAATGTGATGAGTACAGAAAAGGCTTTTGTGACAATAATACTTTGAGCAAACGCATTAATCGACATAGGAAGAAGTTTGAGTGTATAATCTGTGAACGGTCTTTTGGGTTTGAATCTCGACTTACTGATCATATGCTCACTCATACAAAGGAGAAACGATTTAAATGTACTTTTTGCGATAAATCATTTGCACGCAAAACTAATTGAACGATTCATATGAGAAGACATACAAATGAATATCAATTCAAATGCGAAATATGGGGCGTAATCAAGGTGCAGCAGTCCGAATTGAATATTCACATGCGTACACATACAGGTGAAAAACCGTTTATCTGTAAATTTTGTGAAAAGGCATTTTGCCAGATCGGTCATCGAAATATACATATGCAAACACATTCCAACGAAGAGCCTTATGCATGTGAGATATGTGGAAAGAAATTTGTCGTACAAGCTTATGTCAACGGTCACATAAAGCGAACTCATTCGAAATCCAAAAGTATCTCAAACACAGACAGAGTTGAGCAAGAACAAACTGATCTCGTGTATTCAACAGGTACTGATGTTTCTGACGAGTTAAACAACAAAAAGATATTGCAGCATAAAGGGAATGAAACAAATGAAGACTTGAACTTAGCATCAGAACACGAATAACTTACATATACGCACGAAGTGTTAGGGACGTGCTCGCACTGTTGATTAACGGCAGAATCAATAACTGGTTGACTAATACCGAACCATTTTGAAGTTATGGTTCGAGAACTCAAGTCCGATTAACGGGCTTCGAAAACTGGAGAATTGAGCAGTATTATCATACTGCCTAATAAAGTCTCCCTTCGTTTTTTGCTTGTTTCTGCGTGATCCATATCAACATTGCTGTAAGGTCGTTCCGGGGCATGTTGTAAAGTTGAAGTAGCAGTCTCTTCATGTGTCCTGTCAACACCACTGACTTGGTTTTCATAGCTAGGTTTCTTTTGTAAGAACTGGATAATACTTTGCTGTTTGTTTGCCTCTTCTTTACTATCAAACCTCGCTATAGTCCTACTGTCAAATTACGTAACGCGCGGTGGTATGGCACATCGTGCGTTAGGAATACGCTCGCCATCGCATTTCTGATAACTTTGGGTTGGTTCGCAGGTTCGAATCCCATGCGGGGATAGTTATGTACGAGAGGATTGCTGGACTCCTCGTCGCCGTAGGGTGGTTCACCTAACCGCTCTCCGCTGGTCGTTTATGATTTCCTCTGCCATCAAATCTATGCTACCGAAAACAAATAACTAACTAATCCCATACTGCCATAGCTCACATGGAATGGTACCGTAACCTGACGAGAGGCCGTGGTTCGCCATACGGTTGAGCTTCCTTATCGGCTGTCCTCTTCCCAAGGATAAATATGTAAATCCTATCCTAACTGCGAAGTTCTCAATCACGTACCATATCATGTGCTATCAAACTCCTTCGTTATGACGTTAGCCGCCGTTATGAGGTCACAGACTTAATAAAGAACATCCAGTCGTTCAAAAAATCACAAACTTAATCGGCATGCCGTCAATACTTTGTATTTTGCTGCTAATATTGGAATATATTTGGCGGACCGGCAGCAAGATTGCCGCGGGCCGGCGATTGAGAACCACTGGACAACGGTGGGCCAATGAGCATATATACAATAGGTGGAAACTTGCAAAGATTTGCTCATTATGGCATTGTTCCCTGCATTTTTACGTCGTCCAGCTAAATGGTTCGTTTCATATTAAGAAAACGCGTTGCTCGCTGCCAAAATCCCTTGCTTCAGCCGAGTCGGGTGTGAAATTGGCCATATTGAAGTCTTTAATTCTTCAATACATATTTGATTTTGGGTTTCGAAGTATGGTACGCTGAAAGCATACAACTATGAGCATATGCTTATTGGGAATGCATATCTATTAGACAGAAAACGTATCTACAGAACAGAATATGAACCAGTCGCCGAGAGGAGTGCGGTTATTTATGTATTTATTAATTGATATAACATGGGATTTACATATTTATCCAAGCGGAGAAGAAAGCCAAAAAGAAGGCCTAAATATATGGTGAACCACTGCCTCTCTCAATCATAGCTCTGTGCTCCATATGAATCACATGGCTCTGCGAACTATTCGTTCACTTATTAAAAATACGGATTTTAACTATAAATACTCTGGGATATCTTGCCATTGAAAACATAAGCCAGAAATTGGGAGAAAAACAGGGAATGAAATGTGTGTATTATGTAATGGAGAACCTGAGTTTGTTTCACATATTTTCATGTATTGTAAATTTACAAAAAATATTTATGAAGATTTTGTTTTAGATATATTAGAATACATTTTGTTATCAATATGATTCTTGCATATTATTTAATTTTAACGATCCTTTATATAGTCGTATAGATACTGTTGATTTGGATGCAATTATACTTTTGTACAATAGTGAGAAATATTTCATGACTGCTATTAACTATGTGAGCTATTTTTTCTGCAATGCAAAATATTTCCTTCGTCTGCTATTTACTATGTGAATTATTTTTCTGTAATGTAAAGTATTTCCATAACTGCTTTTACTATGTGGGCTGTTTTTTTGGTACTCTCGTAGCATGTGTACCAGGTTAGGTTACGATTCTCCTTATTTTTGTTCTATTAAAAGTTTGGGAATTGTATATGTTACACAAGTGAATATCCCCCTACCGATAGAATTTAGTCCATTTATACAACTTGATATAAAGTAGGCGAACAAAATTAGTTACCTTCATATTGGTGCACATACTTCTGGAGCACCATTTTTTTTGTAATGTAAAATATTTAATATGTGAACTAATTTTAATTTTTCTGTAATGCAAAATATTTTCTACAGCTTCTGTATTTTTTATATGTCACTTTTCATTTCATCGATAATACACATTGTTCATTCTTTGTGGAGTTTTTGGTAAATTTACAGATGGAATAAGACCGACATTCAGCTTTTTTTGTTTCACAACTGTAATAAAAAAAAGGTACTCTTGAAGTATGTAAACCAGGGTCGTCCAACCCGTGGCCCGTGGGCCACATGTGGCCCGCCGAGGAGTTCCGAGTGGACCGCGCTGTATTTTCGGAATTAGATGAAAAAAGGAGTAAACTTGTATTTTGCGAGTAATGAATATGAAGATTTGATACAAACAATTTGTTCATTTTCCTGAAATGCGCTCTGCTGGCCCTTTCAAACGAACCATGAGTGCCATTTTGAATAGGAACCAACTGGAAGATATCGATACATAAATAGTCGCTCACACCTTTGGGCAGAATGGCAGTTTTAATGACCTCATTATTTGGCAGCACTTACTTGTACAAGCAAGTTTTTTCACAGAACCATGTCAAATCCCCTTCTTCATCTCATCTCAGCAAATATTGACTTGTTAGCGAAAAACAAAGCCAAACTTCTCACTAAAATATCTTGGCCTACGTGT